CTGGAGGGTAAGAAATACTGTGGAAAAGAGTTGAGGGTCAGAGAGATCAGGAGCTGAATGAGATGAAATGGAGAGGGCTGGGGAAATTCGGGAAGGACGTTGAAGAAATAAGGGGTTAAGGAATATGGAAATGCAGGGGAGAGTGTGTCTTAAAGGGAGTGGGCTCCAGGCAGAACAGTCACGGACAGGCCCCGAGGTGGTGGGGTGCCTGGTGTGTGTGAGACCAGCAAGGACACTGTGGCGGGAGCTGCTGTACCCTGCAGTTGGGTTGTGTGGGATGTTGTAGGCCCGGGGTGGGGATGGGGAGAGGGAAGTGTGTGTGTGGAGGGCAGGGAGTGAAGAAAGGAGCGGCTACTTGATAAGGTCAGAAGGACAACAAGGAGCCGGCCCTTGTGGACCACCACAGGATTCCACTTGATTCAGTGAGGTGGGGCCACCCGAGGACTCTGAGAGGAGTGACATAATCTGACTTACCTTTGGAAAGATGACTCTAGTAGCTGTGTTAACAATAAGCCGTGGGGGCTCAGAGCACATGCAGAAAGACCAATTATGTCGCTGTTGAGAGACGGACAGAGAAAGAGTGAAGTCAAGGGTGATGCCAGGGTTCGGGGCCTGAGCAACTGGCAGGACCAAGCTGCCACATAGTGAAACGAAGAAATGGGAGGAGTTGGGGCTTGGGGAGGTTGGGATTTTAGGTGTCAGTCATAAACTGCAGAACTCATCTGGCCTACTGAAGTCGCAAAGGGACAGGGCAGGGTCCAGAGCCGCTGCAGGAGAACCAGGGCACGGGCTGGGAGGCGCACGGCCAGCACCACCGCTCGCTGCCCGGAGACGCCTTGACGGCCGCGGCCACCATGAGAGACAAGCCAAGTCCAGGCTGACACTGGACACTGGAAGCCCCGCCCCTGCTGCCAGAGGCTCCAGCTGTCGCTGTCACCCTTATCAGGAAAACTATAAATAAATAAAGTATTCCACCCGCTGCTGCGTCTCACTTCCCTCCGGAGACTGGGCGCCCGATGGGCAGCGCGCGGCCACAGGCTGCAGAGGGGCCTGGCGCACCGCCCTGGTTTCCAGCTGGGGGTTTGAGGGCATCTGGCCCCCAGATTGCTCTTCCCCGGGGCTCGGCCACCGGTGAGCGTGGCGCACGTCCTGAGACAGCCCTGCGGTCACTGCTTTGCTCCTTGCTCAGTGCTCAGGGGACATTTTCTCTACTCCAGCCCCAGCCCAGGTCTCTTGTGGAGCATGCGCGCAGCCCTGGCCCGGACCCGGGCACGGCCCCGAAGCAGGGTGATGAGAACCGGAGCGCCATCCGAGAAACAGCTCCGTGAAAACATGGCGAGCGGTTTCAAACATGGGAGTAAAAAATTTCAAGAGATAAATTAATAACAGTCTTGAAGCACAAGAGCGGAATATACACCATGTAAAGGATAAATGGACAATTAAAATTGCTTATGTCAATATTGAAAAATTGGAAATTTGGGAAGCCATGGTCTAGCGTTCCTTAAGAATAGTCGCTATGGGGCCGACCCTGTAGCCGAGTGGTTAAGTTCGTGTGCTGAGCTTCAGCGGCCCAGGGTTTCGCTAGTTCGGATCCTGGGCACAGACATGGCACCACTCAGCAGGCCATGTCCCACACAGCACAACCAGAAGGACCTACAACTAGATTATGCAACTATGTACTGGGGGGCTTTGGGGAGAAGAGAAAAAAAAACAAGAAAGATTGGCAACAGATGTTAGCATAGGTGCCAATCTTAAAAAAAAAAAAAAGAAAAACCTGAAAAAAAGAATAATCGTTATCACTAGATAATTACTAACAATTGACTGTTATCGTTTATTGAGAGGTTATGGATGCTGAATGCCTCTGTGCAAATGCTTGCTTTCAGCCTCTCATTTGACTCTCACAATGGCCCCATTGGGCAGGCCCAGGCCCAGAGAGCTTAAGTGCCTTGTCTAACTAGAAAATGATGGGATTCCAACGTCCTGAACTCTTAGCTACAAAGTTATATGCCCCAATTTAATTTCTAAGAAGATGTGACATCAAGTAAGGACCCGGAGATCCACAACACAGCGATCTGCCCCGAATAAACTCATTAAATGCATGTTTTAATTTTATTTTTCAAGTATCGTTAAAATGGTCTGCTAGTCTTCATTGCTAGGAATTTATCTTTCATTATTTACAAAAATATGCCTCTATGTATAAAGACACTTATTCCAGTTTTCTTTGTAAGAGGAAAAAAACGTGGAAATCTAAAGTCATTAGCTGGGAATTCCCTCAATAAATTGTGACATATCTACATAATAGAATACCACGAATTCTTTAAAAGCCTGGGGAGGTCTTTAAGGTACATTTTTAAGTTAAAAATAGCTGGATAGAAAATAGTGGGTATAGTGTGATTCCATTTGTAAACTGATACACACAGATTTTTATGCTCACAGTGACATAAAGCATTTCTAGAAGGATTCTCAAACTATTGGGGGGGGGGTGATTTGTCAAGGGTGAGGGGGACAAAAGCCTTTCAGTTTATAGCTTTCTCCATGGTTTCAGTTTTCTACTTTCTGTAAAGATAACTTTTATACTTACTGAGAGTGAATGTTTTCAATACATTCTGTGTGTTTAAAATATTGTCGAGCCTTTTGAAGAAGCTATTTTATGCTTCACACACTTCATTTTAAAATTATGAAGGTGTAGAGAAGTCTATATTGTTTTGAGCTTCCTACCAAATGCTTTTATTAATCTTCATTGTTTTTTCAATATTTGTCCCTAAAGCAAATTGCATAGTGTTAATATGCAGACATTTGCTATAAATGGTCATAGTTTCTCTCTAAATAAGAACTACACAGAATTGTACACGTAAAATGGTTAAAATGGTAGATTTTATGTTATGGATATTTTACCAAAATTTTATAAAACACAGAATTTCATAACATGAAGCATGGGATGGAAATTTAATAATCATAGTCAAGACTTCTTTGGTAGCGCCCAGTGCCAGGCTCTGTGAAAAGCAGGTCGCCATTTATCTTTCTGAATCTTCATACCTCTGCAGCCTGGCAGCTGTCCTACCTGTTTTGCAGAGAACTTGGAAAGCAATGATTTGTCCGGAGGCATGCAGCTGGCCAGAGGCAATGCAGAGGGACCATGGAGATTCTGAGCGCAGACACAGGGACCCCTATATTAATACATTACTCCTTACTGCGTCTCAAATGCAGATGCGTCTAACTCCTGGAAACGTAACTGTGACATTCCCAAAGAAATTTCCCTCACTCCTCCTGATACATAGTGAACAGTGGAGCTTAAAAATGAACCCTAGTATCTGGGAATTTTAGGGCTATGTTTTCTGATTTATATAACATTAATTTTGACAGCAATACTTGATATTTGTGGTATGGTCACTAGTTTATCAGTGGAGTTTTCCATACGCAATAAGGAACGGAGGGCACTGGCTAATTAAATTTCCTGGCTGTATCAGCGATGAAGGGGAAACTTCTTATGTTTTCATCTTCATTACTGAAAATATTTCTGAACTATATTAGCACACTTTCTTCTCTTAGTAGGATAGGCATGGGATCTTCTTTTGATGAAAGAATTTCTTATGCGATCATTATAACTATCAATGATCGTTGTCTAAAAATATGTTACTCTGAATTTATGTAGAAACTGTGCTATATGCTGAAAATGTCCCTTTTTTTGTACTGAGTCATCAATATGGGTTTGTTTTAGGTCATTTCCCCATGTTTTCTAAAAATAGGATTTTCAAAGTGATTCCGGTTCAGTGGATTTCAGTTAATTAGGTTTGCCTGCACGCTCATGCTTCTAGCAGTTCCGCAAATGCTAATTCTTGAACTGCTGGGTGTGGAGACAGCTCTGCAGTGAAAGACTCACATGCAGGACCAACGTGGAAAGTGCTGTTTGTAAAAAAGAGGAGGCTGTGCTTTTACAAAACACACATTCCCACCACACCCTAAGCCCCTCCCCCGCCTCCCTGCAGATGCCCCCTTGGAGAAGACAGGCAGGTGGGACTCTGCTCTCTCTTGGCCTTCACCCGCCCCATTTCATTCTCCCTTTAAGCCTACTCATTAGACTGTGTGTGTGCGCGTGTGCATACATTACAGGATCCCTAAGAATCAGCTAAGTGAGTTTCTCACCTAGTGTAGACGTGCCTTTGGCAGCATTCCTAACAGACAACAATCCGGTTTGAATGTCTGTTCTTTTGGGGACCTCCCTGTCATTGCACATTCCTTCCTTTGTCAGACAATTCTAATTGCTATACTCCTTCTGCCTCCAAAACAATCAACTAGTGATACTAGCTCTAGAACCTGGAGCGACTCAGATTAGGAGGACTCACTCTTCCACAAACAGATTTCCCAAGTCTTCTTTGCCTAAGACTTTTCTGTTCCCAGTTAAGCAGCTGTCGAAAGCGATAAAGCCAGAGGTTGTGCAAGGTCGCTTCTACCCTCTGGACAACATACCTGTTGGATGTACTGCCTTGTCTTACATGATGAAGCAGCCCAGACCGAATTTGCCTTAAGACAGATAGGAGTAACGCCTTCTGAGTTATGTAATTGGGCAGGAAGGATGGATTGTTCTCGGGCACCCACATCCAATGGAACTATCTAGAAGCCACACAAAACATGTTTTAGACAGCCGGCGTTCCATTTCTCTTTGTAGAGTGCCTAGCAAAGACCTCAAATCGCAGGATCAAGACATGGAGACTGAATGACATATGGAGAAAAAAAATCGACACACAATTGTCAACACACTACAAGGCAGCAGGGTGACAAAAGCCCGAGATGATAAACAGGCGAAATTTTGCATAATTAGGTCTTCGAATTTCTTCAGTTGTGAAATATGTGTGACTCACGTGGCTGGCGAGGCTGGGCGTGGGTTCGGAAACGCTCACCTCTCTTAACCTGAGTGTGGGAGAAGCCATCCTGGCTCCTTGTTTGCCAGGCCCCTGCTGTTTGCTCTGCCGGGTATTATTAACCAGCAGGTTTGACAGGAGTTCCTTGTTTTTCCGCACTGATATGATTTATTTTCTGAGTTGCCTGAACAAACAGGTTGTTTGGGCCATTGTGTGGAGCAGCCTGGAGGTGGTTTTTGGAGAAGAGAGAGCTCTCTTCTGAGGAAGAAGTATTACCCGGTTGCAGTAACTGTTGAGAAGTGATTGTCTGGAAGTCCACATGTCGGTGAAGCCATGGAGGGCGGGGAAGGAACCCATCCGATTGATGTGAATGGTGGAGTGTCACTCATTGGACCAGCTGCCCCTGAAAAAATTCTCAGCCAACACTTCCAAACCTCTCTCCTCGCCCAGCCACCCCTACGAGATTGGGAGGGATGCGGTTTACACCGGAACCTTTGGCGCTTATTATGAAGACATCAAAAAATATTTTATCTGTGGGCAGTGAAATGAAGTAAGAAACGAGGCTGTTTGTAGGAAAGCATCAGCCATTAAATGATCAAACCTGGAATCAGAGCGCCCGGCTCTGGCATCATTAGCTTCATGGCCTCAGACCCTCTCTGAGTCTCAGCCCTCGCCTGTAAAGGGCTGCCAGGGCATTTAAATAACTTGCTTGAAACAGCTGGGATAGCGTCTAGTTCTCGAAGTGTGGTCCCCAAACCAGCAGCATCAGCAGCATCTGAGAACTTGTTAGAAACGCACCTTTCCAGCCCCACCTCACCTGCTGAATCAGAGCGGGCAGGGAGGAAGCGACAGCAATCTGTTTTTATAAGCCCTCCAGGTGAGTCCACGCGGGATAAATTTTGAGAACCACCATCCTGGTGTATGAAAGTCTCTCAGAAAGCGGCAGCTGTTAAATCTTTCATCTTAGTCTAATACTTTACAGCTTAGAAGGTTGTTTTTCTACCCAAAATACCATCTGCTTTTCTCAAGTTTGCATTCTCTTTGACCCAGTAATTCCGCTTTGTAGCATCTTTGTAAGCGAATAATCAGAGAGGTTCAGAAAGAGTTATGTAGTAGGTTATTCATTGAGGAATTAATCATGCAGATGAAAATTTGGAAACTAGAGTTGAATGAACAATATCAGATTGGTTTAATAAGTTATGGCACGTCTATGTAATAAAACACAGTGCGGCAATTAACAATCGCGCTGTGGACGGTGTTTGTCAGAGTGAGTGCCGGGAGGCGCCTGCATCAGAATCACTGGGATGCTTTTCAACAGGCAGCTCTCTGGTCCTCATCTCAGATTCATGCGTTCGGATCTGTGAGTGAGGACCCTTAGAACCTTCGTTTCCCACATGCTCCCAGGTGATTCTTATGCATCTGAAAGTTTGAAAATCATGTTTTAGATTAATAATTAACAGCATGACAAGTATTCATGGTACACTATCAAGTGGATGAAAAGCAAATATTTACAGTATCTCTATAATATAGACACCATAGACGTGTAAGTATAAAGAAGGCCAAAAATACGTGTGCTAAAATGCTAAATTAACTCTCTCTGATGATACCATTCTGGTGATTGTTTATTTTCTTCTGTTCTAAATTTTCTAGATTTTCTGTAATATGTGTAATTTTTTGGTGAGAAAAGCGACGTTGTTTCCAAAACCACATATTAGTGCATGGGTCATTGAACTATGGAATGAGGACTTGATATTCATACATGAGGGTAGAAAACTCTGATATAGGCACATGTGAACAGGAAATAGAGAAATAAAAGTAATAAAATCAAGACATGGAGGAACAACGCAAATACACTTGTGTCTCAAAAGGGACAGCGTTTAAATCTGCTGGAGGAGTAGGGGCCAAGATAAATTTGAAATAAGGCTGGAAACCATCCCTTTCTCTTCTCGCATCCCCTGGCTGTGCCCGGTGGATACAGATGCAGTCTGCCATGCGTTAGGCAATGCAGGTGGCTGGGCATTCTGCCGACCTTGTATGCCGTTGATGACCGCTAAGGACAGAGGATGTTAACCTGGCACAGAAGTTGTGGTGCTTTCTGAAGTCAGAACAATGGCATAAATTACAGATAAATGTCGTGGCCAGACCCCTGGTTTCCTCGATGGTGGGCACTGGCAGGTCAGTGGTAGGAGCGCCTACAGGAGACAGTCTCGTGGAGAATGCTCCTCCATCCCACTGACCAGGGAAACTTGCTGTTAAAGGACTGCTTTCAGTAAGTGCTTGTAACTGTCTATCCTGGGCCCACCACCACACTGGAGAAGAGAAGATACCACAGAGGTAGCAAGTGCGGACCACCAGTGCAGCCCTGGGCTCAGAAGGGCCCCATGCTTGGGGCTTAATGCTCCTGTCACCTCTTGAAATTCTTTTTTTTTCTTTTTTCTTTCTGCTTTATCTCCCCAAATCCCCCCAGCACATAGTTGTATATCTTAGCTCTGGGTCCTTCTAGTTGTGGCAGAAATTCTTAATAGTTTTATCTTTGAATGAGTGTTTTGTAAGTGAAGTCCAAAGGGACAATGGAGCACGGCACGTGGGAAGGAGGTTAGTCATGCCCCCCATGGCCTCCCCAACTCTTGCAGGTTGTTGACTGCCTGCTCCCTGCTGCCATCCAATGCCCACAGCCACTGGGCAGGCGGCCTGGACTCAGGTGCGGGTGCAGGGAGGGTCAAAGTGGGTGCACAGACCCCAGGCACCAAGTGCTGTGCAGGCCCAGGCACCTAGGAGAGTCTGTGCTCACCCTGTTAGCATCCTTATGCTCCAGGGAGCGTGACGTTAAACAGCAAATAAGAAACACCACGACAGGCCAAGAGAGAGACAGAGAAAGAAAGGAAAGCTTTGTGCCGTGCTTTTTGAGCAAGAGACCTGTGGGGGTTCTGCCCTGGGACTTGAGAATTAGGGCGTCAGTCTTGATGAGTACTTACAGGGTGAGAAGGATGGAGGAATGCATACGGAATAAATGAAAAGGGAGGACTTCTTGGAAGAGGCACCTCCCCTGACAAGGCTTTATGGTCTGTCTGAGAAAACTAATTTACCTGGGAAGGGTGTAGCCCTTGACAGCATCACACTATGGAGTAAATTGGGCAGTTAAATAAGAAGCGCATTTTCTCAGAAGGGAGTCCCTGGTGATTATAGACCAGGACACAGCCCTGCTTAATTATATGCAGTGCAAGATTATCCTAAATACTCTTTACGTGTATACAGATGAGGCCAGGACTAATTAGAAGTCCTGCGAGAGTAACAGACAAGTTCTCCGGCTTTTGCTAAACAATGTCGAGAGGAAAAAACACAATCATAAAAATGGTTGAGTTCACCTTTCTTCCTAGAAATTATCTTTCCAGCAACTTTCTATTGTTCTCCCTTTGAGAAAGGAGTTAATTTTTAAAAAGTGAAAATAATACATCGTTCCTCAGCATTCCAGGAGTGAAGGGCACACGTGTGCAAACAAATCACAATGCAACGCTTGTTAGTGCAAAATATATTATATGCACATTTATGAAGATCAATTACATTTCACAGCAATTTCTAAATCATTCCCATAGAATTAAAAACCACTTTAGAAGCTCAATAAAGTGAGAAAAATCCCTTAAACTCTTGAGTCCTGCTGAGTGTCCTGGTGAGAGAGAAGCAGAGTTTCATAATTCCGTGTGGAAGAAGGAGTGTGTGTTCTACATGGTCTCTGCAAGACCTGGACCTTAGCCTGGTTTACTCTAGATTGCAGGGACTTCTTGCCTTCATCTAACAAGAGAATTACACTTATTTGCATGCCTTATAGATGCGTATAAGGTGTGAGTGCTGTATTATGGAGAAAGGGGTGTGGGTAAAAAGGTGGTTTAAGACTAAGCTGGGATTCCTGGCAGAGGTAAGATGTCCTTGGTGGCTGCGTGTGCCTGGAAGACTGTGGCAGGGGAGCTCCAGGCAGTTCCGCCCTTAGAACCAGGCAAAGGGGGCCCCAGCCTGAGGCCCAAGCTTTAGTTAAGAGCAGTCCGCGAAGCCAAGGGGGAATGGCCACCTGGAACCAGTGCACTTCCTCCAGTCCCTGCCTTGGATACCCTGAACCCTGACATTTCCTTCCTCAAAGTGCCAGCCTGCTTCTAGAACCTGCCTGGGCCTCTTCAAGTCTCAGCATCACAGCTATTCCCTGCATCCCTAGCCTGACAGTGGCCAAGGGCAGCTCTTTGCAGGCCTCCTACATTTGAGCTGGGATGTCCACATACCCAGGAGTGTGCACGAGGTCCCTCAAGTTGCAAGACCGAAAAGATGATGAGGAAACAACAGGGGCAGGCGTGGGTTGGAGGGCGGGGGCCTCAAGCGTACTTCTGCCCCTGCCGGCAAATGCGAGGCTGGGTCTCCTCCTAGGAGACCAGATGCACAAGCGTCTGAGGAGCCTTCTAGGCAGAAAACATCTTAAAAGCAGAGGGAGGGAGGGACAGAAGGTTGACCCTATAGTGGGGCCTCACTCTCTAGCTAAAGGGATGATTGTGCGGACAGCATGGGATCCTTATCTTAAATTTGTCATTCATAACGATGTGAAACTCAGCTGAGTTGAAACTAAAACGTATTAAATAGCATTTGACTTAACATGGGAAATACTCACTGAGCCATCCAAAGTTCCTTCTGGATTTTTACATACAATTTAACCTTCTGGAGACTCCTCCTAGGGGCACGGCCGACTTTTGCTGACAGATAGGCCAGAAGCTATGCTAAGGACTAAGAGTGGGTCCTGTGTGAGGTGTCCCCTCTGTGCCGTCCCTGACGTGATCAAGGAGTCGGCCTGCTGTCTAAGGATGTCTCCCCACTCGCCTGGACCTGAGGCCTGAAGTTTCTCTTGAGAGCCTCATTCCTCAGATTGAACTGACGGCAGTTGGGATAGGGACCCCACCTTGCAAGCTCTGGGTGAGCTTCTCAGAAGCAGTGAGGAGGAAGCGTGGTGCAAAACTTCACAAGGCACCTGTGAGCTGCAGGGCGCCTGAAACAAAAGGGCAGGAAAGTCCCAGAAACCAGACGGGAAGGCCTGAGACCGCCAGCGCAGCTTCATAGACTTGCTCTCCACGGACCCTGTGAATCTGTGTGGTTTCAGTTCAGGTTTACTTGCTTTAATTGGCTGAAAAATGAGGCTACCTACATGGAAGGAAAAACAGCTCAAAGTTTTAGTCGATTATTGAATCTTTTAATGGTTTCGTTTCTTTTGAAAACTTATTCAGTATTCGGGAGATACATCTCAGAGTCATCTATGTGGTAATGCAACCTTTATGTTAAAAACCATTTGATACCGAGAGTATATCTTTTATTTTTTTTATTGAGATATAATTCACACACCATAAAATTCACCCTTTTGAAATATAAAATTCAGTAGCTTTTAGTACAGTCACAAAGTTTTACAGCCATCACCACTATCTAATTTCAGAAAAATTTTATCATCTTCAAAGAAAGCCCGTTATTCATTAGCCTTCACTCCCTACTCAGTCTCCTCTCAGCCACTGGCCACCACTAATCTACTTTTTATCTCTAAGGATTTGCCTGTTCTGGACATTTCATTTAAAATAAAAATCATACAATATGTGGCCTTTTGTGTCTATGATATTATGCAGCATAATATTACATTTATAGATATATCACATTTTTATCCATTCATCAGTTGATGGAAATTTGGGTTGTTTCCACTTTTTCACTATTATGAGTAATGCTGCTATTAATATGCATATGAGTCTTTGTGCAGACATATATTTTCAGTTCTCTTGGGTATCTACCCACGAGGAGAATTGCTGGGTTATGAATATATCTTGTTTATTTCTTTTAAATCTTAAAACATGAAAGTTGGTGTTTCAAATGTTAGCCTCAGTCTTGACTTCCCACACTCTACCAAAAAGTCCTATGGCGTGAAGGTGGAATTTAACTAATGGGTTCTCTCTTTCTCCTCTGGGCTACCGAAAAGCCCTATAACCCGCAGAACCCATTGGATGTTGAAACAGATCTTAGCAGATAAAATTAACTGTGGTGCTTTTCCAAACTTGCTCACTATGGAGCACATTTCTAAAACAAAATTTGTGCTTAAGAATTCCTTCTTCTAAAAAGTAATAAAAGTAGTAACATCTGAAACATTCAAAGTGGAAACATGACGATGTGCTCTGGTTTGGCTATTTATGAATCTCCTCTGAGAACTTATGAAGACCAAAATAACACAATGACTTGGAAGATGAGGACAGCAACCTAGAAGGTATGGGTGAACATTTTTTTCTCAAGAGGATCCTTCACTGCTTCCTTCTGAATAAGGAACAAGAATGGGGAACTATATAAATCATAATATTGCTTAATAAGATGTGCATCATAGTTTCTATCCGTGTGGACAGCTGACCTGCCTATACATCAACTAGTTGAAAGTGAAAAATTCAGTCATGTGGGCCCTTTAGCATCAGGTCATTTAAAAATAACAACCCAGTGTTATTTTTGGTAGAGTTTTCCCCTTCAGATTTATTTTGTTTGTAGACATAGCTATGATGACAAGAACAGAATGTGTACTCAGAAAAGTGCTACATTGATAAATTATGCCGTGAAAAAAGAGGCAAGATACATTTTTGACTTTCAATTTGACTGCTTCGCTTTGCACTTCTTACTTCCCATGTATGTCATCATGGCTTTTTTCCTGTAGATTTTTCAATTCTCTTCCTGCTCCTTTCTTGTTTCCTTCATTTTTGACCCCGTAATTCTTGAATCACCATTTTGCCACTTGTGATTGTTTTCAAACTAATGTGTTTCACACATACATTCAGGGATCTATCCATCAGGAGGAAATAGCAAGTGCCAGTAAAAATCGTCTCTCTAATTTGTTAATGCATGTCTGAAAAATACAGAAAGTGTGCGATGAGTCCAAAAATAACTTGAAACAGAAGGCTGAGGAGTAGGAAGAGGAGAAAATATACATAATAACTAGTCTGTTGATTTTTTTCCCTCGTAAACTAATCCACATGTCACTGCCTGCTATGGGGTTTGTGGGGTGCCTGCACTTTAAGATCCACCAGTGGGGTTCCAGGCCACTGACTCTCAGGGCTCATGTTTGTCCGTGGTAATTCATGCATCCAGCATGTTCCTTTCCTGGCAACTCTTCTGAGAGATGGACTGTTGTAGCCTCATTTTAACCATAAGGTTCTTTGGGAAAATCTCTTGCATGCTGTACAGACCACTCAAATCCAGTCTTTCACTGGGGATAACTGAAATTTACAGGGCCCACAATTATGATTCGTATTTGTGGTCCTTATGATTCGTATTAACAATAAGCTTCCAAAGCGTACACAAAGGCACCCAAGATGTTTAGGATTTGTGCTGCATGCAGAACTTTACATACGCCCCTCTGTGTGGAGGAGAACTGCCTGCATTTTTCTCAGTTCAGCTTAGTAGAGATTATCAGGCACTGCACTGTTCTAGACAGAGGGAACTGCAAGAATAATTCATTCTTGCGGAGGATAGGAGACAAGCTATGAAAAAAGTGGGCCTATGTTACAACAAAAGATAAATAAATATGTGCTGCAGTGGTATGAAATGTGTATACAGATGCTTAGAAGATGCTTAGAAGAGATAATGTAGAAATAATCCGAGAAGACTTCTTTACGGAGTTAATTACTAGGCAGACCATTGTAGGAGCTATAAGAGCAGTAGAAAGAGAAAGCCTTTGAGCTGTGGAACAGGAGTGAAAGTAAGAGAGTAGAAAGCAAAAAGCCCTTGCAGTGGCATCTGAAATTTGAAACTCGCCGATTCCACAAATCCCTTGTAGTTAGCAGTGGCCATGTGAACGGGTTCTGGCCAACAAGTCAGCAGAATTCTGCTGGGTGCCAGAGGAGAAAGCTTTGCTTACTCTGATGCAAAGAGGCAGGCGCAGCCAGGCCCAACCTTCTTCACCCTCGTTCCTGCCAGGGAAGACTGGGTGTGATGTCTGAAGCGGCAGCAGCTACGTTCCAACATGAGGGAAAGCCAGAGAACCATGAGATGCTGGACTCAACATCTCTGGGTCCTCTTTCTAACGTGGGAAAAATAACCCCTCTCGGTTATAAGTCACACTCTCCATCATTTGTAGCTGTGCCTCTTCCTAACTGATATTCTTAGGTGGGTTTTTGGCCAGGAAGAAGTTGTCCGTCTTTCAGCTGTACTTTGTAATACTAATTTTAAAATCAAAATACTCGTGTTCATAGGATTATTTCATGAGAAAGTGATTATTTTATATCTTGCCAGTTTATTCACTTGAAGGATAACACTTAAATAATTATGTATCCATTTCAGAATTTGTAGCTAAAAGCAGATTTCCTGAGCTTTCAGCCACATTTCGTCCGTTAAGCCTCACTGTCTCTTCATGGCCATGAATTTAATGTCAGCTAGGATTTCAGGGGACGGATCCATTACAGTGTCATTTATTTTCCTTTAGTTTCTCTTCCAACTCCGTGAAGCAATCTGCCTCTGCTGGCTTTTTTTTTTTTTTTTTTTTTCATATTTAGAAGATTGTTGTATCCTCTCCAGAGCTTAATCTTTTAACAGTACCGTCTCATATTTCATGAAATGGAAGCGCTTTACAAATTCATAGTCCCTAAACCCTTCACGAGTTGCTTTTTCACCAATTTTAGTACCTGTCAGTCGTGCTAGGGCAAGAATAAGGATGGCAGGAAGCCTAGCAGCTTCCATAGACTAGAAACCCTGGAAGGCCCCACCTGGACTAGTGGATCCCATCACTGCTTGATCTTCAAAATCTTCTGAGGGACTTTTTAAAAATAAAATTTCTGAGATTCATCCCCAAAAAATCCTGATCCAATGGACCAGGAATGAAGGCCAGAGATCTTTCTTTTTTAAATCTCTCCAAATGCTCGGCCAGGTTGAGAACCGCCAGCCTAGTCCAGGGCCTCTCTAACGTGCACACGACACAATCAGGGTCTTCTTCGGATGCAGTTTCTGTTTCAGTAGCTCTCCGGGCAGCCTGAGGTTCTGCTTCTCTAAAAAGATTCCAGGTGATTCCCTGGGAACACCCATGACCCACACTTTGAGTAAGAGAATCTAAGCCACGCTCCACCTTTCATACCACAGATGAGAAAACCGAGACTGAGAGGTGAATGAGTTGCCCAGGTCATGTAGGAACACAGTGGAAGTGTGAGGACCAGAGCCCAGCTCCTCCAACCTGCGTCCAGTGCTCCTCTGTGCTACTCGATTGACCGCAGGTCCCAGTCTGTCCGTGAGACCTCGAGGCATTGATGACTGCAGAGCATGGAGCCACTTTGGTTCACTCTCTTGTTTTATGATGGAAACTTAATCAGTTTGTGAGCTCATTCTCCACCTGTCTTCAACTTCTGTCTCTACATCACATCCAGCTGGTGGTGTGCTGGTAAATGTTTAACTACTCGCTCTCTGGATGGGGGGAGAAGGGAGGGAAGCCCTGCTTTGTAAACGTTTACTGATTGACGTGGTGTCAATATCCTTACATGGCCAATTGGAAGTTACCCACCTGACATTACTGAATGTGAAGCTGGAAAAGATGCTTAGACCAGCTCTCCTAAGCTAGTGGGAGCCAGAGCCAGCATCCCACTCACCCAGCTTCTCTGACCCAGAGGAGCTGAGGCCACAGGTCAGGACAGCAGCAGTGGTTCCAGCCAGGCTGCCAGGAATTGGTCCCTGGCTAGGGGTCAGGAGAAGCAATCACACTATTGTGTTTTAAGCAAGTCAACCTCTGGTGTAAATGGTAAGATGCATTGATTGTGTATTAACAATAAAAATGTCTTAGGAGAGCTAAAACAAAGAAGAGAGGAAAGATAACGGGGAAAGTATCAGCTTATAAAAGGAATGAAACATTTAGAGCTGAAAACAAACAAGCAAACAAAAGTGAACTGATCAACCTGAAAGTGGACTTGTGTATAGACAGATTCTTTGATTTAGGCAAAACAGAACAAAAACACTGGATAAATTTTCAATTCAAGTCAACAGTGTTGACTGAGTGCTTCCTGCGTTCAGGACATTTAGCCCAGCTCTTGCAGCATGGGTTTCATTTTCATGTGATCTTATTGTCATTTTTTCTCTTTTTCCTGGTATAAACCACTTCTGCTAGGATCTCCTTGGAGAAGACAAGACACGCAGTGCCCTGTGCCCATGCAGGGGACTACACTTCATCTACCACTGGCCCCCAGGTAATTTATGATATTTTTTAAAATGAAGGCTATCTATTAAAAGAGATTCATTATACTAAGCAGTTTATACAGTTCTCGAGCGAGACAACACATAGTCGTGCAGAGCAGATCCCACTGTGCTGAGCAATCACCACATCCATATACCGAAGAGTTGATGTTGTTCAGACATAAGCCACACAAAATAGTGCAAACGTAACATTGTTATTCTTATTCGTTAAAAAATACTATAAGTTACATAGAAGCATTATTTCCCCATGAAATTAATAAGCAATGAAAGTAAGTGAAAAAAAAAAGAATAACAAATATGGACTTTTGTAACCACCAAAAAGCGCCTTCTACTGGCCGCAAAGACAAGCCAACGGTCCAGAGGCAAGGTGGTAGGAGAGAAAGGGTCTTTTTACTACAGTTTTCTAGCAAAGGGGAAGATGGCAGACTAGTGTCCTAAAGAACCATCTTAAACTACAAAAATTTTGAAGCAGGTAAATAGGGCAAATGGGCTGAAGTGGGGAGGGGGGTCTCGGGATGTCGACCATTGGGTGTTGTAGTCATGGAAACTCCAGACCACCCCTTTCTCCTGTCATGGGTGATGGATACCAGCAGAAGCCTTTCTTCCGGAGGTCATTACATCCCTGGGCAAACTTAGAGAACAGAGTTATCACCTTATGGCATTAGGGAGGTCTACGTATAAGCCAAGGCTATGGAAATAGCAGAAGATGGGTACTTCTCACAAGCAGGTGCGTGCTTATTTAGGCTACGTGCAAACTAGAGTATTGCTGGCAAGGAGTGAGGGTGTCTTGTGGATTGGGGTCATTTATAGTCCTAACATGGTTCCCCTCTATAAGATGGCTTCCCTTACGCCAACCTGTGTTAACCATGGGCTGTATTTATCTTGGCTTTCAGGCGGCACAAACACATTCAACATAGAGGAAGTTCAGATATGATGTATGTGTCCACCAAAAATAGCCTTGTTTTCTTTCTCGTAAACTCTATTCTCACCTGTTCTTTCTCCCTAATAGAAATTCATTTTACTAATAAAAGAACATTCTCCCCATCCTCCTCTTAAATATTATTGCCACTCACTAACTCTCCTGGGGAACAAGTGTAATTCTTTCCCATCACGTATATTTAGTAAGTGCCACACAAGATCAGGGACGCCTGTGATAAGTTTGATTGCTTTTCTTTTGTTATCGATCTCTGTATTTCAGTATGACAAGCCAAAAAGCTGAAGAAAATCCAGAGAAATTTTGCTTAAACTACACTTAGCAAAGCTAAGGCAATATGTTGAGAAGCAGAAGACCATTATGAAGTGACCTCATCAAGACAAAACACATAAGCAAAACCTAATAGAAATGAGTCTAAAGCTCTTCATTTAGGGATATCTAGACATTAAATTACAATTTCCTTGAAGGTTTGTCCTCAGCTTACCTGGTAAGCCTGTCGGGTTTGATACAATACCCACAGAGTACCAGTTTAATTCAAGAATCTGTTTCAATACCTATTTTTTTGAGCACCTGTATATGTGAGACCCTGGGTGAGGCATTGCAGATACAACTGCATGTAATGCAGGGAATAGAAAATAACCTTCTACTGTTTTGAACATCATCACTATGCTAAGAATTATTTTGAGCTACGATCTAATTTTTAATTTAAAATAGGATTATCCAGTTGGCTTAGAATGACTCTAACAAAGCAGATGCTGTCCCCATTGTACATTCCTGACAATAGCAAATTCTCAATTATTTTGATCACTAGAGAGAGAAGTGAGAGAGCATAAGTTCAGCATAAATCCATCCTCTAAACGAGAACACGATCCTGTCCTCAGACTGAGCAAAGGGCAGAGCTTTTTTGTCACCTGCATACTTTTTCTAGGCCCCACCTTGTCCCGAATAGGTTTGTTATAAAGATAGAAATAGATGAAATGTATGGAGAATTTATGAACTCAAAGCATCATACAGATGTAAAATGGAATAATTATTATGTAAAAGGGTTTACACATAGACATTTACAGGGTCAACTTCTGAGGAGCTCATAGTGTGAAAAGGTGTGTCTCTCCTTCAAGAAAACGTTAACAATTGGTCAACATTTGGCTTTTTATTTTCCCACAGTTAATCTGAGTGGACGGTAACTTCCTTCCATGGTAAGAGTTATATTTTCCCTTTATTTCTGGAATTCTTTTCCTTCTCTTTCCTTCTTTTTTTAAACATACACACACCCTCCTCTCCTCAGAGAGTCTAATAACCATTATTATTACTGTCATTGACTTTTATAGCTAAAGAAGGCTGAATCTTGAGCTCAGCTAGCCACACCTTCATGTTACAGTTGAAGAGACAAAGAGCCACATGAGGCCATGTCCATCAGAGATAGACGCAAAAATCAGCCTAAAGCCCAGATTCCTAACTCCTAATAGAATATTTTCACTGAAGCTCTTGGCCCAAGAAGAAAGAAAGAAATCCAAGTTTTGAGGATTCCTAAGCTTTGGGCTCAGAGAAAGAAAGTTATATTAAGTCAGAGTTGAGTGGGATAAAAATAATGTGAATTGTTTATTGACTTGGAAGGGTCCTTCAGTGAGAAACACGTCACAATAGACAAGTTCTGTATTTACCTTGAAATTTCTAAACTGTTTTGCTGAATTATATAGTTGAATGCAAGTATTATTTATTCATTCGGCTATAGAGAAACCAAATCCAAATATTTCTCTATGCACATTTTTCCTAGATTGCTTTGAACATATGGAGTAATAATTACAGCAAAATGTTGGGACCAGTGTAAGATTTTCCCCAGTCAACTCTGGAAATTTCCTTTATAGTCATCCACTGATTTCTAATTTCACAGACTGTATTTTTCAGTTCTGAAGTTTCCATTTGGTTCTCTTCCATAGTTCTTTGCCAACATTTTCAGTCCTGTCTTTTAAGTCCTTAAACATATTAAGTATAGCATTTAAAAATAAACGTCTGATGGGCACATTATCTAGATCCATGTAGGTCTGTTTCTACGGACTGTTGTTTATTTTGGGTTTTGATCTTATGGTCTTGTTTCCTTTTATTCTTGGTTGTTTTTGATTGGGTACTGGGCATTACATGTGAAGATTTTGGAAGCAATTTTAAGCTCTTAATGACATTATCTTTCTCTAAGGATGATTTACTAGGCTGGAGGCACTAGTTTTCTGAAATCACTATAAATCCAATTATGGATTAAGATGATTCAAAGATAGGATTCATCTTCTGTGAGGGCTTATCTGTTATTGGCAACCATCTCAAGGGGAAAAGTTGCCCCCAAATGCCAGGATCAATTCTCTGACTTCTTTGCTCTTCCAGTCTTTGTCTCACAATGCCTCACAGAATTGTTACAGCTCTAGAGTAAAACCAGTAAGTTCTTTAAAAATCTTCTGAATGTCCACAATTCCACGCTCTTAGTTTAGTATCAAGCATTACTTGAAATACTTTTAATTTGATAGATTTAATGTTATTTTTAAAACATCTTGAGGCATGTAATTCAAAAGAGTTATTTGAATCAGCCTTAGTCTACTTCCCCCCATTTATCTCTGATAATGTTCAACAATTTCATACCTTCCAAACCTGAGATAACCCTTCATGAAATTTCAGAGCCTTTAAGCCTTTCGAAGTGGCAGCGTCCACGGGGAATTGGTATGGTCTGTTAACTTGCTAACTTGATCATATCTTCACCTACACAGACTCCTCTATTTCCTCTCTTGGTCAGCTCTTAATTCCGATTCTACTCAGCTGTGGTGAAATAACTAGACAAGACTAACTCCCTGATTATTTTGGGAGGCGTGGATCACTACCCTTTATTAATTCTCTGTTGCCACACACAGAGTTCACTCTAAAATGTAAGAGCATTTTATGCTGCGGTGCAGACTTTCTCCAGAAAAGTTGAAAGAGATTTCCAGGTCTTACATTACAGATTAGAAAGAAGATACATATTTCCAACCTGATAGGAAAGCAAAAATACAGGAGAAATAAATGACGACGTCTTACCAGATCATTGTCAAAATTGGCAGTACTGGGCAAGCCTCCTGATTTTTAGTTTAGAATTGTAGCTCTAAGAGGGTAGATAGGTGTAAGTGAAATAAATAGTAAGATAATCAGCTGGAGGTTGAGTTCACACACTCCACTCCCGCGGCCTGGGGTTTCCTGGTTCGGTTGGTTCAGATCCCAGACGCGGACAGAGCACTGCTCGTCAAGACGTGCTGGGGCGGTGTCCCACATGCAATCACTAGGGAGACCTACCACTCGGATATACAACTATGCACTGGGGCTTTGGGGAGAAAAAAAGAGGAAGATTGGCAACAGATGTTAGCTCGGGGCCAATCTTCTCACCAAGAAAAAGCGTACTTTAGAAAAAAAAAAAAAGATGATCACTTAGTTATAGTATTCTCACTATTTTTTCAAAAATTTTTTTCTCATTGTTTCCATTACTTTGGGGACCATAACATGTCCCCCTTTTGCAAACACAGGCAGAAACAGGACTTTCATTTTGTCTCAGATGCTAGACTGTAGCTCCAGGAGGCTACAACTGGAGAACATCAGCTGTCTCTGTTATGTCCAGTTTCTACTGCAGTGACTAGCAATTATACTCGGCAATTATGTGAAGGATGCACAGTTCCTTGTTAACTAAATATTTTATTTTGATTATAACTTGTAACTTTTCTATAATCCTTGTAAGGTGACAAGAATGCTCTTTTTAGGGGGTATAATCCTTGTTTTTTGACCCGTATCCTTCCCTAGTGACAATACTGCCTGTCAAGCACCATCTCTCCTCCCTCTACCCCTCTATTCTCCATCCCCGCTCTGGAAATCTGGTCGCCCTAGATATAAGCTATCTAATAGAGAAGGGAATAATTTTGATGAAGGATAATTTTTTTTGTCCTGAGGAAGATTAGCCCTGAGCTAACGTCTGTGCCCATCTTCCTCTATTTTATATGTGGGACACCATCGCAGCATGGCTTGATAAGTGGTGTGTAGGTCTGCACCCAGGATCTGAAGCGGCGAACCCCAGGCTGCTGAAGCGGAGAGCGTGAACTTGACCACTGCACCACCAGGCCGGCCCCAAGGATAATTTTTTAATGCATTAACTTCACCCCGAATGTGCATCAATGGCAGGACTCTTAATAGAGGTGGCAACTGCCTCATATATTTCTATAGGGAGATGTGCCAAAGGGCACATCTAAGATGGAGAAAGACCAACCAGGGAGAATATCCCCAAATTTGCACCATCAACAGCTGTATGGAATGTGGAGGGGACTCTGAGAGCCTGGCACACCGTGTCAGAATCGAAGTGCCAGTCACAGTTGTGGGTGTCAGAGGTCTCTTCTTCATTTGTAGCTAAAAAGTGGAAGATGATGCCTGTGTCTTACTATTGATGTAAACAAGATGCCATGGGTGGACAGCGTCCCTTGAGAGCGATGCAGAAGGGCCTGAGGGGGTTGGTAAGGAGTTACTCTCCCAGGCTCCTTCTTCTTCCCAACTTGTGCATAAGCTGAGCCCTTAAGGTGCCCAAGGACGTCAGCTTACTCCACAGCAGGTGCAAACGTTGAAGATCACAGCAAGCGTCGACCTCCAATAGCTATCTAAGTTCCACGATCTGTCAACCTGACCTTGTCCTTTCTTCAGTGTTTACACGGTCCTGGAAAAGAAAATGTTTCCATTACAAAAAGGAAATTACAAAACAATGTACCCTGTATAGAGTAATTAAAACATTGCATCATTTTTTCGATAGTTTAACAATTTCAATCTTAAACGTTGGCCGGGGACATTTAACGTCATGTTAAATGTGAACATTTTGGGTCTTTTATTTTAGGATTGACTTTGGAGAGAGTAAGATATGGAAAAGGAGTGTTTCCATCCAGTTGTGGCCTTTTGGTATATACCTAAATTTTGTAGATCTTATGTGACAATTGATTTCTGCTCTATCTAGCTTGTATGATGAGATAAGTTATTTTTAAAGGCACATCTGTTTTCTAATTTAAGCCTAATTTGGGTTTCTTAAGAATTGTCCTTTAAGAATTGCCCTTCTTTCAGTGTCATATCTATCCAACAGTTGTTATATCCAGAATAGAAGAAAAAAGGATCTTAAAGGCAAGATTGTTACTTGAAAATGCATGAAGGCTCCCTGTGGCCTGCCATTGCTTTGCAGACAAGAGGGTGGTGTGAGATGCCCTCTCATTCTAAAAGGCTCTCTGGAGGGGGCTGTCATTCACAGCTACCTGGGTGGGCTGGCGCAGGACACACACTGCGACACAGACCATGTAGGAAAGAAGAACTACGGCTGGAGCATGCACTGCCAGCATTTCAACCATCTCCGACTGCCAAAGCTTTCCCAGAGAAAAGACTGAACACATTTTTCAGCAGTGGCTGTGATGCTGCTTATTTCGCTTTTTAAAACTAGCCATTGTTGGTGCCTGCTCTGAGCAACTCCGTAACTTACTGGAAGTGTCCCCAGGCTAGTCACGCAGCCCACCCTCCTTTGTATGCACTCCAGGAGGACAAGGGGCGTGTCTGTGGTTTTGGGGGCTGAGTCACTGTGGTCCTTACGCTCTGAGCCATCAGCAGTGGGTGACCAGGAAGATGTCAGCATCCCATCATTGTGTGGTTTTCAGAAACTAGGAAACACTGAAATCTTGTTTAATCTACAAATGAAAACAAAAGATTTTTACATTTCTTTTTCTTCTGGAAGGTGTGTACATGTGGGTGTGACTGTCCTCTTATATAAGGACACACACTCCTGGTAATTCAAATAGGTGTGGGGAGACTCAAGAAGGGTGTCCTCTTAAGATCTAAGTGGAATGAGTAGCAGTTGTCAGATGCAGGTCATCACCAAGGCAACCTAGGGGTGAAGTAAGTGAAAATCTGCCTGCTGATGGCTTCACAGGCCCATCAGTTTACTCACTTCAGTTGAAGGATGACCTGTGGCCTTATCAGCCCTTAGTTTTTCCTCTTCAAATACAGTATTTTTAATAACTTATATAATTTTGTATGGTGTTGAAATGAAAATTATAGGCATAAAAATTAGATCTATAAAAATTATTTGGAATTCTGCACATCGGATTTGTCTCTTCTCTCCTACTCTTTTATTGACGTATTTGTTTAATCATTTCTTTAGATCACTATGGACGCCTGGATATTGGTTTTATACTTTGAGTTATAATCCAATTCTGCTTGATTTATTTTCTTGCTCAAATTGTTCCAGCTTTGGTCACTGCGAGCTTTTTCACGTGGTTCCTGTGTCCCTTTGATATATCCCCACAACTGTGGAGTTTTTAGCTCTTGTTACTGTTGGGGTGTTTTTGAGCACTTCCTTACTTTCTGGCGCTACAAGATGCTGCAGGCTCATCTGGTGCATTTCCTGCCCCGATCCTAAAATCAGCCATTTCTCTAAGGAGTCTTAGGTCCTTTGACTGGAGAGTGATATTGGAAACCATCTCTTGCTACTGGAGCATTGGTGCTTTTAGGCCTTGTTTTGTTTTACACAAAACAAGGAAATATATGTGTGTGTGCTAAGTATATGTACACATATCTATAAATGTTTTTATATGTATTCATTTGTATCTTTATTAAGCTAACCATGAGTTCATACTGATGTCTCCAATCCAGTACCGTGTGGATCATTCCAATCCAGTACCACGTGGATCATTCCAATCCAGTACCATATGGGTCATTCCATTCCAGTACCACATGGATCATTCTAGCCTTCCCCTTTGCTCATCTCTAACCTTCCACTCCAAAAGTGAGATACTTGGCTCCCAACACCCACCGTCCATTTACTTATTGTTCATTCCAGTGTACACATGCAGGGGTTTCCAAATGAGCCCATACTCCTGTGGGACACAACTTAACAAGTAGAGCATAGTGAGCACCGACAGTCCTTTTGTCTTTAGTCTTATAGTCTCCACTTATTTCCCATGTTACTTAGATCAGCAACTTCCCCTGCCTTCTTCGATAAGATTATTTCATACATTTGTAATACAGTTAGATTATTTTGTCATACCTGAATTCCATCCTGGGATCCCCCTAATCTCCAAAAAAATTTTTTATTTGTATATGTTTTAAAAAAGGAAATAATGTTAGTGATTATATATCTCTTTTCGTATCCCAGCGTGACTCCAAGGCAGACGAGCCCACTTGTTCACAAACCCTCTCAAAGTCAGCAGGGACTTTAATGGTGCTTCTTGGACTTGGGACCAGGAATTTTTTGCTGTATTTTCCTTAAGAAGATGCTTAGTCTTACAAAGGAAGAAGTGAAAGTTTCAAAACTTTATTAAAATATGTTAGGGTAAAGTTGGTGTCCATGTCACAACTCTGGAGTGACTTTCGCTTCTCCATCTTTCTTCAGACACCTGCCTCGTTCTGCTCTCGGTCCATGGTCCACTCCTTCCTTACTCTGTTACCACACTGATTTTGCCGTATCTTTTATTTTATCCCCTAATAAAACTATTTGACACCAAGTTGGCTAAATATGAACCTCATTTGTTTCCTTAAAGTAATACTCACATATGCTAAGTTCTCTCATTTTCTGATGACCAAGTGTGAAGAAAATTGTAATTATTTTGGTCTTCTCTATGCAGGGGTTAAATGGAATAAACTCATCTTACTAGCATAGAAAGTTTTGGAAGCTGTGCTTTTGATCTAAGTATTCTCAATAAAAGCACCTTTTTATCCTCCAAAAAAAATTTTTCTTTGCAGCCAGTAAGGTTCACTGCGCTGTGAAGTTCTCCTCTTCACTCAGGGAGCTGGAGCACAACTCCCTGTCCTATTAAGTATGACCTGCAAACAGTGACTTCCTGCCAAAGAGAGTGGGATGGGAGGAGTGGGGAGGAGCATGATTCTACAGTGGGAAACCTGACAAAGGGACCTCAGCCATGCGATAAGGGCAACACCATCAGTCTGAAGCTATATTGATGGTACATATCCTTGATATGATATGATGAGAATGATGATTTACCTCTGTGATCTTCCTCCCCCAAATCCATAACCCCAGTCTAATCATGAGGAAAACATCCAAAAAACCCCAATGGAGGGACAGTCTACAAAATATCTGACCAAATTGTCCTCCAGACTCTCAAAGTCATGAAAAACAAGGAATGTCTGAGAAACTGTCATAGTCTTAAATAGCCTAAGGAGAGAAGATAACTAAATGTAATGTGGTATCCTGTATGGGATCCTGGAACAGAAAAAGGACCCTAGGTAAAGCTATGGATATCTGAATACAGTATGGACTTCAGTTAATAATAATGTGTTAATATTGGTTCGTTAATGGTAACAAATGTACCATACTGATGTTAACAATATGGGAAGCTAGGTGTAGAGTGCATGGGACCTATCTTCTTTTTTTTTCTCCCCAAATCGCCCCCGTACATAGTTGTATATTTTAGTTGTGGGTCCTTCTAGTTGTGGCGTGTGGGACGCCGCCTCAGCACCGCCTGATGAGCGGTGCCATGTCCGCCCAGGATCTGAACCAGCGAAACCCTGGGCTGCTGAAGCAGAGCGTGCAAACTTAACCACTCAGTCACGGGGCCTGCCCCTGGACTTATCTTTTTAACTTTTCTATAACTCTAAAAATCTTCTAAAATAAAATGTTTATTTTAAAAAACAAAAAATAAAACAAAAAATAGATCTAATGCCTTAAGGAAAAAAGGACTTGCAAACTTGAGAGAAAGAGACTGCTGGGGATTTTGCTTCATTTGGTTTATAAAATATATTTTTCCTACTAAGAAATCTTGTAGGGTTTTTTGACTTGGTTTTTTTAAATTTAAAAGTAGGGCACTGCCTACGAATGTAGCAAGTAGGAATGGCCCAGAGGAACTCATCTCTGAAGATGCGTTTAGATTGGGTTTCTTGTGTTGAGAATGAACTGATGACCCAAAAACCTTATTTCCAACACTAACCAGCATCTATTAAACAGAAAATTGTTTTATTCTGGAACACTGTCTGGGTCCCATAGTCAGTAATTGGGGTGTAAGTTCACATCCACTTCTTTTGGTGTGATTGCTTTAGAACACATTAGACTATGATTTTTTGAGGGAAAACTGTGGAGTACTCAACTCTATTGTGTGCTCAAAACCTACACAAAAGGGTTTTTTTCCTTGTTGTGATAAAATATACAAATTTGCCATTTTAACCATTGTTAAGTATACAAGTCAGGGACATTAATTACATTCACAATGTAGTGAAACCATCACCACTATCTATTTCCAAAAATTTTCCATTAGAACAGAAACTCTGTATCCATTACACAGTAACTTCCCATTCCTCCCTTCTCTCAGCCCCTGGTAACCCCTGATCTACTGTCTGTCTCTATGAATTTGCCTGTCCTCGTCACTTTGTGTAAGTGGAGTCGTACAGTATTTGTGCTTTTGTGTCTAGCTTATTTCACTTAGCCAAATGCTTTCAAGGTTTATCCACGTTGTAGCGTGTGTCAGAGCTTCATGCCTTTTTATGGCTGAAAAATATTCTATTGCATGTATATCCTGCATCTTGTTTATCCATTCATGTGTTGGTGGACACGTGGGTTATTCCCATCTTTTGGCTATTCTATACAATAGGTATTATAAGTGTAGGTCTTTTTAAAGAGAAAAAAAAGTTGTTGAACATTCCTGGAATGTAAAACTTGGCTCAAACATAGTTAGCATCAGTGCCTACCATTTGATGCTAAATGATAAGGAAATGCTCTAGAAATGAATCAGTGAATGTTGTGTCACAGGCATCATCAGAGGTGGCTCTTGAAGTCCCAAGCCAAGGTCACAGCTGAATGGTAGCATTCTTCTAGAAAGGCTTGCTTCCTTTGTTTGTTCATTTATGTTTGGTTTTGTTTTCACACAAATCCTTTAAATACTATGCCCTTGTCTTGCTCCCTTTTCTTTCTCGCTTTTGTCATGACTATATTCTCATTAATAAACTCGGCTAATTCACATTTCAACTGATGTATGTTGATTATTAACTAGCTTACAAACCACCAGCATAGTTTATAAATCGAATTCTCCTGGCTGGCATAATTAACCAGGCTGTACATACGACGGGAACACGAGCTTGAGGAGTTGCCATTGGTGGAATTTACCTGTGGAATTTGCGTACCCAAAATGCACCTCCTCTTTCCCTAAAGTAGATTTGCAGGATTCTCTCTCGTTAGCAATATTACTATTTACCTAGTCACCAAGGAATTACTCCTGACTCCTTCCTCTTTCTTCCTCCCTACCATAACTGCTTCAGATTTTGCCTTGTGTCCGTATTTATCAACTCATCTCCTACTCTCTCGTCCTCTAGCCCTGCTTGCACAGTTATGACGGAAGCCCTCATTGCTCCTGGAATACTTCCTGGAGACTCAGACAAGAAGGGTCACTCCCCCGGGTGCTGTGCTATGGAGGGACCAGCAAATCAGAAACACAAAAAATTGTTGAAGGACACGCGGTGACTCTGTTCAGCAGGACGTGGTGCTCAGCACTGAATAGTCAACCCAGAACCCCAGACGTCCACTCTCATGACTGACAGTGTTCAAGCCCCAGGGAAACGCTTCCCCGAATCTCTTCTGCACACCTCTTCCCTAGATCCCCAAACAAAAGGCAACTCCCCGAGAGCTACTAAACTTGGGGCTTGTGTCATTACTCATGTATGAGAAAAACACAACTTCCTTCACATTGCCGAGGAATTTCAGTGGGCAAGGGTTAAGGAAAGACATATGAAGAAGCTTGCTATTCTGGGCTGAGTTGTGTCTTCCCAAAATTCCTATGTTGAAGACTAGTGCTTCAGAATGTGACTGTATTTGGAGACAAAGTCTTTAAAGAGGTAATTAAGTTAAAATGAGGTCACTGGTGGGCCCTAATCCAGTACAATCGGTGTCCCTAGAAGAAGAAAAGATGAGGACACAGATACACACAGAGGGAAGACTGTGAAGACATGGGGAGAAGATGGTTGTCCACGAGCAAGGAGAGAGGCCTCAGAGGGAACCAGCTCTGCTAAGACCTTAATCTTGGACTTCTGGCCTCCAGAACTGTGAGGAAATAAATTTCTGTTGTTGAAGCCCCCAGTCTGCGGCATTTTGCTGCGGCGGCTCCAGCAAGCCGACACACTTGCCGAAGTTCTTCCCCTCACACACTTCCCAGTACTGCCCTTTTCTTTCTTCTCTTTGCATTCCAATTTACGGTTCCTGTAGCACCTTCAGATGCTGGCCCTCGGCCTGTACTTTAAAGGGCTCTACCCTGGTCCTCCCTTGACTGTGCCCTTCCTCGCAGGCCTAGGACAGAGGGCCCAGGTGTGCCCACCTGAAGCTTGCGTCTCCTCCCACCCCAGAATTCCCTGTTCAAATAGCCCTGAGCCCATTACCAGCGACCGTGGTGGCCTCCTTCTCGCCCTGCTGCACACCCTTAAGCTGGAGAGCTGCCCAAGGGTTGCCATCTATAGTCAGATCTTGGACATGTAGACTACAGTATATACATGCAAGTGTGCAAGACCCACGTGGGCTGGGCTGGAGCTGGAAGGTGGCAAGAGAAGGGGTGAAGTGTGGGGCTGGAGGCTGGAGTGCTGTGACTTTCTGACATGGTTCTTCGAGAAGCTTAATTTGAACTTGACCTTCCATGTCCTTATGAAGGTATATTCAGGGGCTGGCCCGATGGCATAGAGGTTAAGTTCACGTGCTCCACTTTGGGCCTGGGGTTCACCGGTTTGGATCGCAGGAGTGGATCTAGCACACTTGTCAAGCCACACTGCAGCGGCATCCCACATAAAGTAGAGGAAGATGTGCACAGATGTTTGCCCAGTGACAATCTTTCTCAAGCAAAAGGAGGAAGATGGGAAGATGTTAGCTCAGGGCCAATCTTCCTCCCCCGAAGAAAACCCAGAAGGTATATTCATCAAGATCAGGGAATAGAACACATTTTATTTTATGCTTTGTTAGTGTGATTTACAACCTTTATATATTTAGACACGTGCTACATGGGTCTTCACATCTTGCTTCAAACCCCACAAATGCTAGGAGTACGCTTGGTGGTTCTGGAAGACTCATGAATTACAGCAATATTTGCCACTGCTGCATGTGGAGACTGGCGAATGTTTCACAATATTAAAGAATTCACATTACTCTTAAATTTGTATACGTATATAGGTCTAGACATAACGTGTGATATCAACTTTAATATTAGCAATGAGGAGGATATTAAAATTAAAATTGTAAATACTTGTGTTTTTATAAACATTTAATATGAGTTCATTAAATATTTTAAAACCTCAACAAAAATTTTAGTTGGTTTAAATAATTTTGATTTTAACTCTTATTATACTTTATAATTTGTATTTTGTTTAAATTTAATAGATTATATTAACTATTTCAAAATAAAAATACATTTTTAAAATGTACATAAAATTTTATTTCCTTTACATTACTATGATCTATGATTTTTGACAAAGAATACATTAAAATTGTGTACACTTTGATTATAATTACATTTTCTTTTTATTGCATTAGAATAAGTAAAAACTGTGATCATGATAGAAACAGAAAACGCAACAGTGGAGTGCGGAAAGAAATAACAAGGTAAAAAGAAATAGAAAATCTTCAAAGAGGCAGTTTGCTTAAATTTTTAAAAACTGGAAACAGGAAAAATGAGGTTTTTCTTGAGCACATCCCACACAAAAATTTTCAATAAGATATTAAAAATTTTTTATTTAATTGAGGATTTAATTATTGATCCAAACAATGAACATGAGTGAGAAAATTATTCTCGTCAAATCTGCAGCTTGGGAAGAGGTCAGATGAAATCTTTGCAAATTCACATTCTTTACTAAATAAAGACTTAATTACTGATGGGAACGAGGAGAACCTCTGTGGTCCTCCCGGCATTTGTGCTAGTGCCTTGCATCATTCCCCAAAACAGTTTCTTCATAGACGTGTGTCCCCACTCTTCTTCCCCCGACCCTGTCGCACGGGCTGCTGTTAGAGTGGGTCATCTGCCCCCTGTCTGCTGCGGACTCGTCAGCAGCCTGCCGCTATGTGGAGCAGAGCTGCCCAAGAGCACAGACCACATGTGGTTGGTTATGCTGGGAGGAGTGATGGTTTCTGTGGCCGCGCATGTTTGAGAAACAGTAGATACAACCATTTTATGCCTGGGAGACTTCTCAGAGACTTTCTTGTGTTAATCCCTTGTCTGGATCTCCAGGAGGGATGTATCTAGGCAGCTCTGCCAGCTGTTTCCGCAGAAGAGTTCATAGACGTGTGTTCTTGGGAAAGGCGTCCAGAGCTGCGTTCCCCACTGTGGTCCTCGCTAGCCACAGATGGCTCTCAAGCACTTGAGATGTGGCTAGTCTGATTTAAGACACGTTCTAAGTTTAAAACACACTGTATTTCAAAGATTTAGTACAAAAAAGAGAATCTAAACTATCTCAATAATTTTTACATTGAACATGTTGAAATGATAATATTTTGGATCAAATAAAATACATTGCTAAAGTTACTTTTATCTGGTATTTTTTCTTTTTCCTGAGGAAGATTTGCCCTGAGCTAACATCTATTGCCAAGCTTCCTCTTTTTGTCTGTGAACCGCTGCCACAGCATGGCCACTGACAGACAAGTGGTGTGGGTTGGTGCCTGGGAACTGAACCCGGGCTCCCAAAGCAGAGCGCACCAAACTTAACCACGAGGCCACCGGGCCTAGCACTCTTTTTACTTTTTTTAATGCAGTTCCTAGAAAATTTCAAATTCCGCCTGTGGTTTGTGTTATATTTCTATTGGACCACAATGATCTAGAGAGCAGCAGGGTGCATCTGCCTGTCTCTCCAGGTCTGTCTCTAAAAGCTCTCCCACTTTGGGCTCTAATTGCTCCAGACTGTTTCAAGGAGCCCCTCCTTATCCCTACCAACCCCGCCCCCCACCCCCCCCCCACCCCCCACCCCAGCAGCAGCACGTGGCCCGACACCTCTATTCTTTGCTTGTTCCAACTCCTGGAATGACATCAGTCTAACCCCTATTCAGCCTTTAGATGGAGAGCATCCATCACTCATGCGGGAAGCCTATCCTGAGATCTGGCCACACCTATCCCCGGGCCTGGCTAGGTGACCCTCCGCCAGGCCCCTGGAATCTCCTGTGTGCACCCCCAGCTGCACTCACCAGACAGAAGCCTCTGCTCCGTATCTCCCTCTTCCAGGATGCCGTCGACATCTTGAGGGCAGAGATAATTCTTGCTTATGTTTATCCTCCTAGCACCTAACACAATGCCTGCTGTATCAGGCCCTGAATAAGTGTTTAGCGGATGAATGAATGAATGAATGATTCAAGAGCGAACCAGATATGGCTCCTCTCCTAATGGAGCACAGTCTAGAAGAGGAGACAGATATGTGAATAGAGAGTTAAAATGCGTTGCTTTAAATTGTGTTATAAATAACAGTGAGAGTTGCGTGGAAACTCTGAGCAGAGACCCTAACTGGGGCCCCGCTTCGTCAGGGGACAGCCAGCAGCTGCACAGGCCTTGCACTGAGAAGGGCCTGGGGCTTAGTTTACTGCTCTGTGGTCACTGTCCTGAAGTTCCCCATCATTGTTGAACAGGCACAGCACATTTTTATTCTGTTCTGAGTCCTGCACCTAACCCATGTGGATATAAGGTGGGGGACGATGGGGGGAGAGGGTCTGAAAGGACATGGTCACTAGAGTTAGCTAAATGAAATGGGACCGGGAAGGGCACTGGGGGAACCAGGGCAAAGAGAAGTGCATGCACGGAGGCTCAGAAGTAGAGAGCTCAGCCGGCACTTCACCTTGGCTGCGGCCGGCACACAGGAAGGAGCAGCGTGAAAATCGTGTCATGCTTCAGTGTGGGTTTTACACGGAAGCCATGCAAAGGCTTTGTATGGATTCAGGCAGAAGAGTGACACGTTCAGATTTGCATTTTAGAAAGTTCAGTCTTGGGACAGTGTTAGAATCTTTCCCCTTTTGCTGTTGGCAAGGGAAGGAGATGGGGAGGTGATGAAAGAGCAGAAGAGGCCGTATCAGAGAAGGGCCTCCACGGTAGCCCGGGAGAGATGATGCCCGGGGTGAGCTAGAACGTGCTGTGAGAATAGAAAAGAGACCTGAAGGAGCGGGATCAATGGGACTTGTTGATCCGCAGGAGGACAGACGGAAGGCGGGGAGAGAAGTCAGGCAGGACTCCCAGATTCCAGTGAGTCAGAATGTTTTGGGTTTTCCCTAAGTATGGATTTGTTCTCCACTTACTTTCTTGCCAATGGAACATGAAAACACTCCACACATCTAAATGACTACTTTTTTCTGAGTTATTGCTCCATCCAACCATGATCTTTGTGTTGTCTCTAGAACTTAGATGCTTATATTAAGGGGAATTTTGCCAGGCTCTCTTAGAGAACAGGCTGGGCCTCGTGATTTTGGCAGTTATTGGAACAGCAATAGCAGACCTCAGCTTTCTGACATCAGGCGACTGCTCAGCAGGGGCCCTCCTCTTTGCTGGATGGTCCACGAGTTACTTCTCAGCAATGTCTCCCAACAGCGTCATCTCACAGAGATCGCTTTCCCATATTTGGAGACAAGAAAACAATGACTCGGGTTAAGCAAAAGCTAATAAGGAGAAAAGAAGACATTCAAAGCCAAGTTTTCTGAAATCGTGTTCTTTACTCTTTCCATCAAATGACATTTGCCTCAGGGGGTTAAACCAAGAAACAAACCGATTGAACAAACAGATTAGCTTCACTGAAATGTTTCTGAGCTTTCTTCCTTTGCCCATTATTTATGTGGTCTCAGAGATGGCTGGAAAAAGGTAGGAACAGTAAATAACGAAAGAGGAA